AATTTAGCTTGAAAACCACAGCTTTGAAGCCTCATGCGCGCCATACCCGGGAACAGAACTGTAGCTACTTGTAGCTACCCTGGGTCCGTATAAATACTATGTTGCTATACCTCTTACACACCTATACAAGTTCAAGGCACGAATGAGACTTCAAAGCTGTGGATTGCTGTGCGTGTGTAGAGGTTCTCAAGCGGTTGACGGAAAGGCAACTTGAAGTACTATACCTGGTAGCTGCACTATGGCTACCCTAGGTCTCTATACCTTGCAAGGTGCCAACTACACCTTTCCATTCAGATGATGCAAATGATGCATTTGGCATTTCTTGCATCACCACCCCTCAAGAATCACCTCCAACACAACCTCAAAAAACCTTCCCTCGAAGCACCCTCCTCCCCCAGCATGTGCCGAGTTGACGTATACCTTTCTCGGGCCACCACCCCCCCAGACCCCCTAACTACTCACTTCGTTCGCCAGACACAACTCCGCTAGCGCCTTCTACGAAGGCTGGCTTTCGTAACTTTTCGGCTTTTTTCAAGTGTCTCATTACTTGTCTCCTCATAAAAACTCTACTTTATTCTACGAGTACTGTAATTTTCATACTTTACCCTTGAACCAACTTGACCCAGCCCTTCGTTTCTCTGCCCCAATGGCACTGCGATGCAAACACCTCCAAACTACCTAAAAGCGGCGCTGCCACGCAAGGCGCCTGTGCATGTCCCGTGCCCATCCCACACCGGTTCTGTCCGTTGACTGTGTACTTAGAAGCCCACAATCACTCGCATACCAACTGCAAACTGTTCGTAACTCTAAAAGTGTTCGACTCTTCAGTTGATAATACATGACCGCATCAGCAACATGCAAGCAACATGGCATTTGTCAGATGATCTTGCAGCACTTTGTTCGAGCCTACTACACCTTGAGGTTCGCCAATCTAACCAGTCAACACCAAGATTCTCTTGCAGAAAGTTTTCTGGGAAAGTCCTGGCACAGATTGTCAGCACTCGGATGGCTTCAAGTAAACAAAACTATTGAAAGGCTCTTGATGAGTTGAGTTAGAGGGCTGCCTGAGTTGGGCCGAAGGTCTGTTGTCTTGACACTTCCCAAGCTCATTCCAAAAGTTTAAAGAGCAAGGGCACTTACAATACATGGCAACCAACCCAGGCCACGGTCCACTTTTCAGCATTCTGACGAATGGCGCTACACATGTGTTCCACCCTCAGCAGCAATCTGGAATAGCAGTAGAATACATTGCGGGCCAGTATTGGTTGTTGATTCACGTCTGTTATCGTTCTTGACATTTGTATATAAGACATAGAATTTGTTCCATGCGCATCTTCTGGCCTGACTTGCTCACTGAATTCTGATTCGACTGAACATGAGAAGCACATTGTTTCGAAGGGCCCCAAATTCGTTGCACGAAACAAGTGTGCTGTGGCCTCTGCTTTGATTTCTTGAAAAAAGAAACTCGCGTGCAAAACGATCTGCGACCAATCCTCCGATGCTCGAAGAAAGTCTGATTCTGCCATGGTTTTGACCTCAGTTTGAGATGGCTAACAACTCGTCGATTTGGCCAGTTATCCTTCGACCTATGTGCGTGTCCAGCTGCGTATTCAGTTGCAAGCTCACTTGTAGCAGCAGCATGTTGCCTTTCAGCAGGAAGGGTCTCAAGTTTCATGAGTTCTAAGCCAAACCGCTGAGGCAGTTTTCAGTTTTGAAAACTGCCTGGATCGTCGTCACAGTCCGTCCATGGAGCATCTCCAAGCACCAGGACCTGAAGGCCACGACATATGACTAGAACATTGGAACGAAGAGGTTCACAAAATCGTATGCCATAATATGTCCCGGTGTCCTTTACCATGGTTTCTACAGTGAAGGTTGGATCTCCGTACGTCTTGTGCACAACGCTCAGAAGTTGTCAGCCAGGCAACTCCCCATTGTGCTCGGCACGCTGACTTGTAAAGCGTGCTTCAAGAAAACAATAGAACATGTTCAAACCCTAAAAATGGGTTCCGGAAACAGCATTGAGTCAAAAATACACTCTGAGGAGCTGCTGCGGGCAACGCTGCAAGCCAGTATAACAGCCCGTGGATATAGCGCATTGCAGCAAAGCCGCTCCAAATGGAAATTGAAGAGACTGAATGAGCAAATTGAGCCACAATGGGACAATAACACTTATCATTGACTTATCATGCATTTCGTTCTAAAGCGGTTCAGTCTCAGGGAAATCAAGGCTAAGAGGTGTAGCCTTGGGCTGTGAGCCGTCAAGCCGCGCAATGCAATAAAAATCAAAGCTACCGAGCTACTTAGCAAATTGATGCAAATTGGTGTTTGCGCGTTTTTGATGTGGTTTGTATAGGGCAAATCCAAAGGGATCAAAAGTATTGGTGAGTGACTATACTGAAAAAGGGCATGAGTAAGACACAACTTTTTTCGTCAAACAATGCTTGTCAGCCAGAGTTTGGGCATAATTTGTTGTCCTTCAATGACCTCGTACATTCTTTGATCTCCAATTCACTTCAGCACTGAATGCAAGCCTGTCTCCAGAAGCACTCCAGCAAGGCGTTGAAATTTGCTTTGAAACTTGACTTGCTTCAAGTCAATGGCAAAGGCAGGCCATGACATCCACAAATTAATACCATCTCGCTGATGGCAGTTGCCCATAGTTGCCCAATATTGCGCGGATCCCAGCAGTCAACAAGCATTACATTACATTGCGCTACCTCGCTTTCCTTGCTCGCGCTGTTCTTCGCAACACTTGGACCAATGCCGAAGCAGCTGCATTCCTGAGGTCGATTGCTCTGGCACTCAGGTTTCCCTCTTCATCTTTGCAATTACTGCGCTGTGTAAGCAGCTTTCAACCAAGTCAACACTAAAGAAACACTGGACAAAAGGCATGAGCCTGCTATGCCATGCTTCCCTCAACACGCTAGCAATGCTTGGCTCAATCCCGTTTCAAAGAGAATGCAACACGGCAATGCTCGGCTCAGGAGACAAGCTCCGAATGCATCTCAGTGGCTTTTCCGAATCCAACAGGAACGGCAGAACAGCGACACAAGCTCTACAAGCTTCTGCCTGACAAACTTGAACGTAACTACTGAAGAATCCAAGGACACCGGTAGAAAGCTTCACTGGGCAAACTATGTGGTGGTAAATGGGCGGTTCGCTATTGACAGTCTCTCAAGAAGAGACTGTGTTCACTTCACAAAGGCCCAGCTGCAGCATATGTGGCAGGCTCCGATTCGAGCAGGCGTCCCCAGTTTCCAACTCCAAGGGCATCCACCTTTCTGATCAGGCCGCTCTCAGTGTTCAGCGTGTGGACAAATGTTGCATTTGCCTGCAATTGATGTCCATCTATTGCTGTGAGGAAAAGCACATGTGTTTTAAGCAATGCCGCCAGCCTCGAATCTCTCGTGTGCTAGCAATTCAAATGGTTTCCCATGTTTGCGAATTGTTCAACTCAAATTGTTCAAGACCCTCAAGCCTTGCAGTAGCTCAGAAGGCCACCTCCTCCAGGCAAACGGTGCATAACGATTGGGTCCTAGCGCTCAAGAGTTTGTCATTCAAAAACCGTCAAGAATCAATTTGTTCGGTTTGACCTCGATCCAACCACGTACAGTATCCTCCTGACAGTTTGGATCTTGGGACGCCCAGCCCAATTATCTTAACATATCTTAACCAAAGCGGAAGCGGGCTGCTCTTGTACGTTGTGGTGGTTGTGCTCTTGCTCCTTGTGCGCAAGTTCCAGCGTCAAAGGCACACCCGGGCTGGCCAGGCTCAGCCGCTCCAATAGCCTGCTTGGCTCCACAAAGCGGGCCTGCAACTGGAGCTGCTGCTATGTACAACGGACACATTTGACAACAAAATCAATCTGCCGAGCTGACCATTGGTTCTTGCAGGACACACCACCCTTGGCTAGTGTTTGAATTATATAGTGTCATCAATTGCGTTCGGGTGTTCGTTGGGTTGCTTGGCCAGCACTCCTGCAGGATCCCGTGGCATGCTCTGGCTTTATTTGAGGAGGTGAGATCTGTTCTGAGACAAAAATTGTTACAGTAAGGTGTTGGATTCGGGGGAAAAGCAGCCTCCTCAAAAAGCACTGGCGCTGAGCTTCAAACGTGGCTAAAGTCAAGAGCGCCAACGTTCAAACGTGGCTAAAGTCAAGAGCGCCAACGTTCCAAAAAAAGCTATTGTTATATTTGTGTTTCCATTCACTCATGAAAATCTTGATGCAACCTCATCTTTCGACCAATTAACTTAGTTGAATTTGCTGAACCTCCAAAACTGAAGCAAAGGACCACGAACCCACACTATATTAATTATATAGTATTAGAGGTGAGTTGAGAGCAGTTTCAAAGACGCCACGACTCACCACGCCCATGCATGTACCTGTCCAAGAGTTTTTCATAGTTTTTGCACGCAGAAACTCAATGAGTTAAGGCTGTGGCGACAGTGCCGTCTACGACCCTTGTTGGGGAGACAAGTAGAAGACGAGGCAGCAGCGGAAAACAAAACGCCGATCACGCAGGCAGACAAGTGAGTGGACCAATGGGGAGCCAAGTGGGAAGATGAGGACGGGGGCAAGGCTACGGGGCCAAGGCAGTCCCAGCAGCAGCAAAGGTGGACCAAAATGCCGATCAGCCACCCAGTCATTGAGAAGTAAGCACCCGAAAAGTTGTCAGCTATCTGGGGAAACATAATCTGTTGGGGTAATTATATAAGTTATATAAGTATGTAAACACTAAAAGAAAAACAACTAACAACACTCAACTCCGACAGCCTCCGACATGCGACACCTCCCATCCGAGAACACCGATGAGCAATCAATACCTGTGTTAGAGGGTTTTGCAAAGCGTATTTGATAAGGGTGTTGCAACCATATAACCTTTTATGGTTGCTATGGTTGGTCCCTTCACACGGTAGCGCAATCCAGCCACCTGCAGAAAAGCAAATTTCCTACTGGCCTCCAGATCAGAAGTAGTATACCGACCTGTTCTGTCAAGCCACACAGGAGTCGACATGATGCCCTAGAGTCTACTAGAGATCGCTTCTCAAATGTTGAACAGAAGTTGTCTTTATTTATACCAATCTTCTGTGAATGTCATGAGTACAATTCCATTGCTCAGAGGCATTTTGAATTAGCACGTTGATGCAACCATGCTGCTAAAGCTGACCAAAGCACGCTTCAATAGTATCTACGGTATGTTTCAAAGGCGTGCAGTTCGGCAGTCATTCCTTCGCCTGCTTGCTTTCATGAATAATTACGCTTGTAGATTGGCTTTAGCATTCTTCTTGCCATGCTTTCCATGCATGCGTTCCATGTATGCAGTGTTCACAGCTTCCTTGCTAAGGAAGCGGGAGAAAATGTAATCCCACATTTTGTCCTACACCAAAACGCCTGGGCAGTTGCGGATTTCGCGCCAGGACAGCAGCTGCCAAAGCTCTTCAAGGGCTGCGCCGCCATCTCCAGGGTAGCGCCCATCACCATGAAAAGCCATGCTCGAACCAGAATGAATGACCTATCCGGACCTTTGCTATAGCATGCCACATCCAGGTTCAGTTGACTCAAAGCGGTCGGGCTGAACATCACTGAACAACCAACCTTCAACCAGAAGAATCTTTGTATTGAATTGTATTGCAATAGTGTTTGAAGAAGCCTGACATCAACAGTCATCCTTTTTCGTTGGTGCTCACGACAAAGTCTGTGCTGGTACGACTTCTCGTTTTGTGCGTGTCGA